CGGGAGATGTCTAGACTGTCGTAAATGGACCGCAGTTCCACACCAGCAACATATGTACCCGCTTCCACCGCCAGAGCAGAGAAAGGGTGGTGGTGGTGGCATAGCTTATTTTGGGCCTGGTTACATGGAATGTGGTTGTCGGACGGTAAAACGTTTCGGTTGCTTATGCACCTGTCTGAAAACCAGAACTGTTCATCTCGAGGTGGCCCATAAGCTTTCTATGGATGCACAGATTACGGTACTTATCCGTTTTGTTGGGAGACGCGGTTGCCCAGGCGATATTTATAGTGACAACGGGACGAAGTTCGTCGGGGCGATGACGGAACTAATTGACTACATTGAAAGGTGGGATCGATGGATAAACAATCACAAAATACTTGCTTGTGGAGTAGGATGGCACTTTAATCCACCCGCTTCTAGTCACCGAGTAGGAGTATGGGGAAAGATAATCCACTCGGTACGAAGGGTGTTAAATAGCGTCTGAGGACTCCCTTGTCATCACGATTGTTGAAGTGAGAGGGCACCTCCCGGTGCTCAATGGTTTGCCTCAAGCCAGGCCACCTCTCGTCAAATTGGTGCAAACCCACCAAAACCCTCCTGTGTCTGGCTGTGATCGCAGATACGTACCCTACTACGGTCGCAAAACACATGTGAATAATTCTAACTCTGCAAAGTTTGTGTTTAACGGGCCTCAAGCACATCCCAATGTGTCTCCGCAATCACACTCCCAAGCTGCGTCTACTCCTCACTGCATTGTGGATCAGACTATTGAGTCAAAGTCTCAGGGTGGTGTCCCTTAAGCAAACCTCCGAAGCACAACCGCCACCTCAAGTGCGATTGCCCACTAATGCAATCGTATGCCTGCGCGAAAAGCACTTAGCGAGACCCGGTTCCCTGAGCAAGGTAAGTTGCATGAAGCTGGTGTCGGCTATATGTTTTACTGGGTGGGAAACGCTACCACAGCATCAAGTGAACATGGGGTCGGAGTTGCACTATCCGATCGCCTAAATGGCCATTTGGTGGGTGAACCAACAGGCACCAGCACGCGACTGATGACTGTTCACCTACGACTCGGAAGAGGCAAGTTTGCCACTTCTATAAGCACGTACGGTCCGATCATGTGTTGTCCTGATGACACGCGTGATGAGTTCTACACTCAGTTATTCTTCAGGATACGGTCTGTGCCGATAAGCAACCGACTATTTCTGCTGAGTAATTTCAACGCGCATTGGATGTGATGCATCGGTGCGGACAGATGTTATCGGTCCGCATGGCATTGGTTCAGCGAATGTGCACGGTGACAGGCTGCTCTCATTGTGTGCCACTCACGGCCTGACAATCACGTACACACGGTTTGTACTGAGTACGAATGATATAGCAACTTGGACGCACCCACAGAGTGGTCACGCTCACTTGTTCGACTATGTCATCGTACCTCAGCGTGACATGCGTAAAGTGCGCATACCACGTGAAATGCGCAGAGCTGAGTGTGGCACTAATACAAGTTGGTGCGGACCAAATTGTACGTATGTCTTCGTGAATATATGTGTTGCAATCTTGCCGTGAAGCGGCGGAAATATAACGTTCTTTCCACAGGAATTGTGGAGAAGAGGATGGAGCAGAAGGCGATGGCTGTACGCCTGTATGACGTGAAATACATAGCCACAATGGGCGACCTGTGGCACCACATTCGCGACCAAGTGACAGCTACTGTCGAGGAGACCATTTGGCGCGCAAACTGTAAGCGGCCTGATTGGTTTGATGAGAACAATGCGACGACTGGCGCATTGGTGTGTGAGAAGAATGCAACATTTGCTGCATATGTGGTAGACCCTAGCAACTTGGGGAAGAAGTCAGTTCCGCAGAGTTCGACGGCGACTGACTGTAGAGCTCCGTTGCCTTGAAAATGCATGGTGGATGGAGAAGCAGTTAGAATGCTACGCCGAACGCCGCCAACACAAGGAATTCTTTGACTCCTGGAAGGTGGTGAGTGGAGAGAGGTTGGAGCCGCTGAGGACGCTGATCGATGGTAACTCAGGCGCTGCCTGCACGCAGACTGTAGATATAATGCAAATCTGGCGAACACACTTTGACTGTCTCTGGAACAACCGTTCTGAGATTGTTTGACCTACACTGAACCGCCTAAAACAGCATGAGGTGAAGGTGAGTCCGGCAGACACATCGACATTGGATGAAACGCAGAGAGCACTTGCTCAGCTGCGAAACGGCAAGTGTGCCGGTGTCGACGGCGGACCCGCGTTGGTGAACGTGCTGCACCACTTGGTGCAACGCGTGTGGATTGAAGAGGAGGCCTCCTGAGCTGAAGGATGCCCTTGTGTGCCACTGTACAAGGGAGCAAGCAATGTTGCATGAATTATCGTGGCATCAAATTTTTGAGTTGTGTGGGCAAGGTGATTGTCTGAATCATGCTCAACCGTCTCGTCAGTCAGGTTGTGGAACCTAACGTGGCGGAAGAACACTGTGGATTCCATTCGGGTCACTGTACTATCAATATGGTGTTTGAGGCTTGCAAGTTGCAGGAGAAGTGCAGAGAACGCCACCAGCCGTTGTACTTGCTGTTTGTTGATCTCACCAAAGCACTTGATACGGTGAACCCCGAAGCATTGTGGCTGGTATTGGGTAAGTTTGGTTGCCCGCGTAAGTTTAAATGAATGTCTGCACAGTGGTATGCAGACCTCGGATGACTGCAGTTGTCTCTGGTGTGAAGCAAGTCTGTGTCTCAGCTCCTGCCCTGTTTAATATTTATCTACATGCAATGATGTCTTGTGCTTACGGTGTTCGTGTGGAGCATCGTATTGATGGTAGGTTGCTGAACATCCGTCGTTTCGGTGCGAGAACCCTAGTCTGTGAGACAACTATCCGTATGCTGCTGTTCGCTGACGACTGTGCGTTGCTTGCATACGGCGCGGAAGAGTTGTAGCCCATGCCTAGTGCTCTGGCTTCGACAGCGGCCAAATTCGGGCTCACCATCAACACAAGCAAAACTGTCTGTCTCTTTCAGCCTTCACCGGAGGTGCAATCTTCAATATTGCCGCAAATCAGCATTGGTGCTGAAGCATTAGAAACCACCTCTCGCTTCTGCTACCTTTCGAGTATGGTTTCGACTGACCAACAGCTACACAGTGAGCTGCGTATCTGCGTCTTAAGGCAGCTGCGGCATTCGGGAAGCTAGAGTACCGAGTGTGGAACAACCATCAGCTTACCATTGGCACGAAGCTGATGGTGTACAAATCCATGGTGATGTCCGTTTTTCTATACGGCAGCGAAACGTGGACGATGTATAGGCGAGATGTGCGATATCTCAAGCGGTTCCATCAGCAGTGCTTGTGACGGATTCTGCGCATCGGTTGGTGTGACAGAGTTGCAGAGACGGTGTTGCGCAGAGGTGGAATGTATGCAGTGGATTGCATACTTTTGCTGAGACAACTGAGGTGGCTCAGTCGGGTGTGGCATACGGATTCGACGCGGATACCGAAGCAATTGTTAGATGGTCAACTGAGTGTAGGGAAGCGGCATGTGGGGGAACAGAAACTTCGTTACCAGGACATGATCAGGTGTTGGGAATCGAAGGCGGTTGATCGGCGTGCATGGCGCGATCTGATCCCGAAGGCAGTTGTCGAGGTGCAGGAAAAAGCCCTCGTCAACCAGAGAAGGAGCGGCAGGTGCGGAAGTGACAGGCGTCGATGGAGTATACCCTATTGACGTCGAGCACATGGTGTTGTACCACATGTGGTCGCGAGTGCCTGAGTCAGACAGGTCTAGTGAGCCACGAGCGAAACCACTCGGGACCAGTATCGAAACCACGACGGGTGCTGCCGAGAACGTAAGCAGAACGGGCGCAATGTTGGTAGGTGCATTGAATGCACTTCCATTCGCTTTACTAACCTCGTGCTTGGGTGCTGAGTTTTGCTATTTCAGGTGATTGGTTTGATATATTGCCTTAATGCATATTTTGTTCCGTAACTTTAATGTTTAGCTGAAGAATCTATTAACATGCACATGTCGCTTAAACGAAAGGTGTTAAATTTCGCTTATTTTTTCTTGTTTGTTGTATATATTTTTGATCTCTTGTTTTGCCATCTCGAATTTATCGCGTATATGTTGATAACCCACTTATTTCATATGCGTTTGACCAAGTAGCGCACTGATGAAGTCACCGCGTATGGTGACGAAACGTTTGCATACCAACTGCGAAGCTCGGTGAACAGTTGAACCCAGGAACATTGCATATGCTAATGTAGCGAAGAGTTACGTCGGCGTATCCGTATGGTGTTTTCGATCTATTTCATTTGATATTGTCATTTCAACTGATTGGCTGTTGCTTGACATCCTCAGTGTGGTTGTGCTTGATGTGCATGTTGACAAGGTGACCACCTGTCTTTTACCTAGTGCCTCCTATATACTGGTTGCAGGAGACAGTTGGTTGTTGCCGGAGGCGGTGGGGTGCACGGTCCTCGTGACCGTGCTAGGGTCGAAGAGTGGCTCCAGGCACTCAGTCTTGTGTGCGCTAGATTTCCCAAATACAGCGTGCTTGTGTTTGCCTGTGAAGGAGTGTGGGCCGGCTCTGTTGATGAAACGTGGCTCCGATACACATTCCTCTTGGTCTTATTCCTTCGGGTTTACACTGGATATGGGGGTGCGAATGGAGCTGTGGGTGATGCAGTGCAAGCCACCCTTGGTTCCTCTATAGGCGAAGACGTCCTGTGGAGGCTACAGTGACAAGCAAATCCTGACACAGATGCCAACAATCCGAATAAATATGTATATATCCTTATGTGCGATGAGAATGCAAGAAATAACCGATTTATTTAACAACGCACATTTTTTGCCCCTGTAGCAGGGAAGTACTTGTTCCAAGCTAGGAAGCTCAAGCAGGGTTGATGGTATTCAGGAGCAAAGCTATAAGGGTCCACCTGCAGTACGAAAATAGCTCAGTGGAAACACGGGAATTACACACCCAGGTAGAAGTCGCGCATATACACATATCAATTAGTATCTATATATAGAGAGAGAGATGGAATACACGCTAGGAAGAATGCGTAAACGGCAAATGCAGAGAACAAAGCGATGTGGTAAGGTTGCGCAACAGAGTATACGGATAAGTTGTCGAATGCCTACAGTCCAGGGGCTTGAAGGGAAACAAGGAGAACAACACAAGTGGAAGAGAGGGATGCGGATATGGCATAAACACGATGCGCACAAATAGGAAGGTGTGAAAAAGCACGCCAACTTACAGGGTGTATACTGCGTGAAGGACGCGCAACATGCGCACAGACAAATTGTTACAGTGCATCGAACGATCGGTCACAAAATGTGGGACGACAGTGCCACGGCGCATTGTGAGCAAAAGTAGTTCCACACGACGCATGGTGGTAGTACATTAGAAAAACAATAGGAAGGGAAAAATAGTCGTGGAAATAGATGTGTATGCACCGGCCAAAGAGATGATTACCGAATAAAAATGGGGACTGCGAAGTAGCAGTTGAAGGACCGTACATACGGTTAAGGAGTTCGGCGATGCTGGGAGCGAACGGTGTCCAATTACATCAACATGCATTTCTGAAAGGAAAAGAACATCTTATGAATGATGTAGCTCGCAAACATGGAAAATGAGCAGCTAGTAGATGAGAAGCGGCGAGTCCAAACATCGTAGAAATGTTGGAAATAATGAGGATAAACAAGTTGACATGGAATTTCGAGGTAGCTGTTAGAGGAGATTCGCCGCAACCAGCTCTCAGACAAACAGAGAACCTCGCACATCCGGAGAAAAGTTAGGCGGCCAGTTAGTTTTACTGAGAAGCGTCAGAAACGCACCCACGACTCATGCATTAAGCTCTTTTCTGGGGCGCGGAGGCACGTTTGACTGGCAAATGGATATGGTGAGCCACATGAAAAAATAAACCGATCCCCTCACTAATCTCTAGAAACCGGTAATCGCCAGAGCCCCTTACTGGCCACATCGATTCGTAGCGGCTTACATGGGGAGCCGTAGCTCTGGAGTGAAAAATTCAAAGTAGCGGAGAGTAAGTTACGTTGTACCGGGGGTAGTAATCAATGAATGCTCGCCAAGTCACTCTGTACAGGAAACGTACGCCATTAGACTTCAAAAACAGAGGGGTCATGAGTCCGACTCTAGGAGCAATAGTGGGTGGACAGCACGCACCGATGAGCCTCCACAGGTGTGCGGGATGGTACGCGACTGGAAGTGACTGTGACGAATTCCTTCAGGCAATGAAGGGGCATGATGAAAGAGGATGCAGCCTCGTGTTAAGTTGACTGTTCACTTTAGGTCAAACCGAAATGGGCTGCCCGAATTTTTGATGAGGCGTCGCCATCTGCCACTGACAATTTTTGCCTCCAAACAGCTCATTGACTTTCGACTTCACCTTTCAGCAGACGGAGAGACATGCGTACATGAAGTGGCAGCGATTGCGCCACTCCATCATCGAGTATTAGCCCCTGTGTGCTGCTGAACGTATTTTAAGAGACTGGATGTGTTTGAAAGTCAATGCACACGAAATACTGCTCAAATCTGGTGGAAGTAGAGAATGAGTATTATTGAGGGGCAACACCTAACACCTGGCAACTCTGTTGCCAGGTATTTCATTGGGGTACCCGTTGAACTAGAACCACCTCTGGCATATCGCGTCCCGAACACATGTGAGCAGAGTGCTTCGGCATTGTTTGCAAATACGATGTCTAGTTGGGCGAAACCCCGAAATCGACAGTCAATGAGATAAAAGTAAGGAATGCAAAAGCTCAGCGAAAAGCTGAGCCGGGTTGGCGCATCTCACCTTACTGGATGAGGGGACATCGGAACTGCTCACACCAGTAGCTGGGTACTCTATCAGATATGACACAAACGCGGTCAGTAGCCCTTTTGTTTTCATTCTTTCATTTTGACATGTTGACTATTCGATCCATAGTTTAAAGTTTGACCGATCGTCTTTAGGATTATCTGGGCGATGAGTGTTAAAGTTGTCGGCCAGTGGCCAAGTGGTCTGCACGTTTACTTTGCAACCATAAGGTCAACGGTTCGAATCCGCGTAGGGGTGGGTGTCCTCCCGGTATACTCAGCCCGCGCGCGACTGGTAATGGTCGCGCGGCAGCAAAGCGACGTTACGGCGTACAGCTGACACATTATTAGTGTTAAGGTAACTAGGTCGACTCCAATAAGACGTACAGATTATAGCCAGTAAACCGAACTGAACTGGTCAATATTGAGGTATCCAAACAATCAGTGAGAGCCTGTTGCATTGATTACTTGATGGAAACATGGGATGTGGGTACAAGTGGAAATCAAGTACAGAGTGTCTGTCACAGTTTAGGACGGCGCCTTACTAGGAGCTCAAAGAATGAAAGAAACTGGATGAGACGAAATACCCATATGTGGCGGAGGATAGTCGGTGACTTCTCCGGCTCATTCGGTGAATGGGCTTAAGAGACAGCGCAGTGGAAAGATTGGAAAAAATGAAAACATTCTTTTCTCAAAGCCATGGATTCTCGACACCATTTTGAGGACCAACTAGGCAGGACCGAAGTACCCGATATGTATCTTTTAGCATAAATCATGTTCAACCATTTTCGCATGGCGTTTACAGTGCAACTCGACCGGACCATTACGCATCAAATAGCCGTTCGACGCATGCGTCGAAGGGATTGTGTTCACCTGTGGAGACGCGCTGTGGCGTTACAGGAGTAGCAATGCGCAGACCCAACAGCATCTTCGATGAGTGAGTCGAAAGACAGAACACTTGACAATCGCCGAGTCCAAGTTGAGCTGGTTGGGTGGAGCACGATAAAGATGGCACGTGGGAGCGGACAGATGCGGAAACATGAGGCTCACATGGCATCGGTAGTGGGCGAATATATCGGCACCTAATCAGTCATCAATTGGTATGGACGCAAAGTATGGTCGTCCAGTGGTAAGCATGAAAAGAATAACCGATGCTGAAAAAGAAGTCCGGGTGTCCAGAAAAGATATAATCACCAATTTCTATCAGGCCACACATACGAGTAACTCATCGTCGAGAAGGTGCAAACTCGAATCGTGTGCCGACCACATGTGGGGTAGATTTGGTAGTGGAGACCAACCGTGCGATGTCAGTGAAAGAGGAAACAGCCGAACGTGTGACTCACTTCATCATTTCCTGTCCGATAACCGGCTCGACGACCAAAACTAACTCCGCTGGGTCGAACGCGTTCCCGCTTCACTGTGCACTTAGCCTGCTCCTGAAATAGTTAAGGGAGACACAGGAAAACGTGAGTTTGCCGATACAGAAAAGCAATTGCTGAGGATGGTAGAGTACAACTAGACGCGTGTCTATTGTAAAAACAAACCAGCCACCTTTGCGGAAGAGATATAAAGTGGAGACAATGAAACGCAGAAGGCAGAACGCCAATGTGAGGATGTCCTGAATGTAGAAATAGGGACGCGTGAAACTTTTTGAAAGAAACGACGTTTAAGAGCATGTATGGATTTTAAATGACTAACCTTGGGTGGAACCCCTAGATCATGAGTGACCAGATGAGACATGACAAAGATTTCTAATGAAAGGGCGACGTCAACCCAACAAACATCAAGGGAAAATCGACGGTCCGTCAAGCACAGCCGGCGGTGGATTGATGCGAACCTCAGATGTGATGAAAACCAGTCCCAACAAGATCACACGAAGTGTGGGATCAGTTGAATACCATGAGAATGAACACGATATTCAAACTTCATTTCGAGAAGGGAAGATTATTTGCGACGAGGCCAAAAACGATTGGCCAGACTGAAAAACCGCGATTGGTGGACACAGGGTAGAATTAGTGTGCCGGGACTCACCGTTCCATCAGCATCCAGTAAAGACATTGTGGCCTCGGGACCCGCGTGGAATGATTTGTTTTTCATGACCACATCGGACGGAGGATTGTGTGTGACATCGCTATCTCCGCTCCAAATCTAAGGGGTAGGGGAAATAAGAACAAGAACCATTGACAAAAATCACGGCGGTTGATACGGTGCTTATGTTTCAGGATAGTCATTCTAATGGATTCTCTGCAAGACAGCCTAAAGACCCCGAATCACTAATGGAATAGGCAAAACAGGCGTGGTAGAACGTCGATAGAATAAGATATATAAAAAGGGTTTATTTCTCGGTTTAACGAGCTACTGCACCCGTGAGGGATCCAGGCCAGTAATTAAATAATACGCATTCAGGGATACAATAATCGATAAAATGACACCAGCTCAAACCTAGGTAGTGAGTAAAATGCGGAGGGTCAAACAACCCGGTTCCTTATAGTCCACAGTTATATTCGCCGAGAGAAAGTCGTGCGTGATATCGAGCCACCTGCTGAACTTACTCCGCATGTTTAACCAGATGGAGGAAATTCGTTCCAGAGGCATGATAACAAAAAGATGCTTGCGCCAAGTGGTGCGGCGTAATTCTCTTCCACAAACCCGAGTCGGAAAATGACGAATATCCCGAAGCGTTTTATTGTTGTAAAATCACGATTCGGGGAAGTGGCATTAATCAGAGATAGAGAAGAATGGGAGTTATTCATGGTGGCATGAACGCAGTAACAATGATGCGATTAGTTGAACAGCGTGTGAAGACGAGGTACTGTCGGCGGACATGCGATGCTTTACTTCGTGAGCAACCTCAGTCTCACGGACAACGACACAGATGATAGCGTCGGGCCATGCTTCCTACAGTTTTGAGTTACATGCACAAGAAAGGTCGCGTAGATTTCACACCGAGAAGTGCGATACACAACATGGTTGGTATAACGCCCAGGGTTATCACTAACGTGCGCAGATGAGCCAAAGTGGAAAGACACAGTCATTGTCACCATAATAAATTGGATCTATTCGCTAGAGAGCAAACGTGCTCTAATATCCCATCACTGTGCCCAAAATCCAGAAAGCAAGGACCATGAACTGAGCAGACAAAGAAGAAAGGTGGTCTACAGTATCATCACTTCTAGTGAGAGCGAACTGGTCCGAAAAATATCCAAAGGTTAGAAACTGCTGTGCTGAACGAAGAATGGATGGTTGAGTGGCAAAGCGAAAGCGAACAAAGAACGGGGAATAAGAGGCGGCGTCGGTGGTGATAAGGTGTCCGGAAAAGTCGATGATGTGTCCAACAAACTGACTCAGATCTAGAACTACTCAAAATCAGCAAAGCACGGGGTATTGGAAGCGCACTGAGGAGTGAATTAGAGTTGTGCAACAAAAGACAATTATAAGATTGTAACGAAAGCTCAACACTAGACCAGAGACTGAAGGAGAAGAAAACAAGTCGGGCAATATATCGCACAGTAACAATTTACAGTTGGAGGAAAAGCAGAGAAAGAAACACGACGAACGTACCGTGCATGTAGTTCCAGGCTTTATTGTGAGAGCCCGGTGGAACTTAAAGCGAGTTTCTTGTCCGCCTGCCTCATGGACGAGTTCCCACCCGCCCAAGGACACCTCCTGCAAAAAAAGATACCAGCTGAAACAGCGCTAGAACAACACAGCAGGAAAAAATAAGCAGGGAAAATGTTGGTACTACTCACATCCGTGGATGTATTGTTGAGTTTCACCCACTTCCCTTGAGTGTCTTGCTCCTTGAAGAATTCCACCGGCCCCGAAGACGTGGAGGAAACGCGATACGCGTAGCGCGCTTTAGAGGAGATGAAGCCGGACCCTGTCAGACCACCCTCATCATTTTCAGTACCATCTTCCAGGCGTCGGCGTTTTGTTGGCTGGATATTGAACGGAGAATCGCGCGATTGTGTTTGGATATTGAGTCTAGAGTCGGAAGAAATATATAGAACAACCAACACTCAGGCTGGTACCGACAGTTCACAACCTAAAGACTAACTAACGACAAGAAGCCTCGATGAATAAGTAAAAAGACGTGGATCGGTGCTGCGGAACAGCAAAACAGAGCGTTGTTCGGGTAAATAGCAACAAGGGTTGGGGATAGCTCACCGTGACTCTTCACCCTCCAAAAGTTTGCGGTACATCAAAATCTCCTGATCCAAGGCGATTTTCGTATTCATCAACTCAGTAAACTCGCGGAAACTCTCCTCCAGCTCATCTTTCAAGCGACGGACCTCTTGCCTCTGAAAATACAGTTGCTCTTCGTGATCCTGGCGTTCTTTATCCAACTGCCTTTGTAACTCGTCTACACGATTTTGCAGCAGAGTTATTTCAGAAACCTTTTGAGCCAACTCGTGCGCGAGATCGTCGGCTCGTTTGCGAGTGGTGATCAGTTCGGAACGTTGGCGCACAATGTCATCGGCGTTGTGATCCGCTGCGGACTTTAATTTGCCCAAGCGGTTCTGAAAAATTAAACAGACAACGCACAGGCTATCCGGTAAAGGATCAAAGTACTCGCCATAAAACCCTATGACATGAAATGATTTCTATTGTCGTTATATGGATGATACGTTTATAATCTGCGATTCAAACACCGATCTTTCCAACCTGTTAAACCAGTTAAACAGTGTTCATCTATCGTTGAAGTTTACTATCGAAACCGAAAAAGATGGCAAGCTAGCCTTCTTGGACGTGTTGCTAAGCCGATGAAATGATGGTTCATTGGAAAGAAGTGTATTCCGGAAGGCCACTTAGGTAGGCCAATATACACATTTTTTGAGCTTTGTACCCTTGAGGTACAAACGCAATCCTGTTCGCTGTTTGTATTTTCGTGCCAGGAAAATTTGCAGCCAAGAGACGCTAGAGACCGAAAAGAGCCGTATTCTCAAAACACTGCAAGACAGCGGTTATCCGACTCCATTCATCAGAAAGTATGCAGTGATCCGCGATAGCCCTGAAGTGATTACTACTGTCCCTAAGAAGGACGTGTTTCTATCAGTTCCCTTTAAAGGCGATGTTGCCTTTGATCTGTTGACCAGAAAGATTTTCATTGCAGTGGCCAGAACCTTCTCATCCGCATGCCCACACATCCTTGCGGAAACAGCTCCCTTTATAGCCCAATGCATTAAAGATAGACTTCCGGTTCAGTCCCAAGCTTACATCTTATATCAGTTTACCTGCGCCTGTGGTGCGAGGTACGTGGGACACACAACCAGGCGTCTGTCTAAACGCATTGCGGAGCAGTGCCCAGCGGCTTTGCGGAAAGGCATCGTCAGTCGCCCCAACAATTCTATCCTGGAACATCTGGTGGAAAGCGGACACTGAATTAGGACCGCTGATGCCTTCCAAGTACTTTATGCAGTACAACCACGGTACACTAAAGGGCTTAGAAAGCAAATCTAACGGATGGCCGAAGCGATTGCGATTAGAATATTGCAACCGGATGTAAGCAGAAGGCCTTGCTGCAAGGGCTTCTTCTACCCTGGCCCTAGTTAGCTCGTTAATTTTTACCACTCCATGCGCCTACAGTGGTCGGATGATGCACTTGACATCCCACCGATCAACTAACACGTGCTTTGTCACATGTGTTGTTAGTGGATTTTATTGATCAATACTTTTGAGTTTCTGTTTATCGTGATTCCACTATTCCCACCACTGGCTTCATCAGCCATTTGCTTTGTGCCTTTCCATTTTATAATTGTAAATGCCTGAGGAAATTTATCGAAAAGAGTACTCTTCGCAAGATTGTGTTCATGCATTTCCATGGGTATAATCTACGAATTGAAATGATAGACACACACGGCTGCCCTACGGTTATATGAGTAGATGTGGAGCGAGAGAATGAGAGTTACCCGCGAGTATATACGGGTGTCTGTACCCATTGCCGTTTAATCCGAATTACAGGGGGAGTCGGCCGAAGTGTGCTGCAAACTAAGTGTGACCCCCTCCTTTTCCGATGCACAAATGCCTAGAAGAATGGAAGTTAACGGCAGTGTTGATCAATGTCGCTATTGATGCTGACGGGGCAAAATATAAGCCGCATAATGAGCGTTGGTGTCACACGTGCGTCGATGTCGAGGAAAATGAGGCGCTTGACCATGACCTATCGCTGCTTGAATGACCTACATCATGGGAAATTGTATTTTTTTGGTCGGGTCAAAACTATACACAGCATTTGCAATACCGAAAACTGATAGCCATCAGCTGAAATTTCGGAACCAGGTAGGTTGCCATCACCTCTATACTGCTTCCAGGCGGACTAGTCGTCTTCAAGAGAGTGAAAACAAAATTTGATGTCCTACCAGATTAGCGAATCAGAGCGAGGCTAATCTTCATCGCACTTCAGCAGCCTATCCTGTTTCAACTTCCCATTTTATAATTGTAAACGCCTGATGAGATTTATCGAAAACAGCGCTCTTCACAACCTTGTGTTTTATCAATTCCATGGGTATAATTTTCGTGTCTTAGTTAAGTTGATCGCAACTGTCCGAAACACAACCAGTTTAGACAAAAGTCCCTTTGGAAATGTTGAAAATATATGCAGCTGGGGGATTATTCATTGCGCAGTAATCTCTTTGCAAATGAGTGGTCGTCAGCTAGGTAATATCATTATCAGTACAGCTACCAGAGTTTGACGTGCAGAACGTACGGATCAGATCCAGAACTATGACAGCAATTATCCGACACATTATAAGCGCAGCGAGGTAAGAACCCTAACCAAACGAATCCGAACGCATTGCAACACCGCAACTGAGGTAAGCAGAAGATCATAGTTCCGGTGCGCATAAACAGAATTCGTATCCAACGGTTTAGTGCTGAGTTGATTAGTGCTAAGACACCCCACCACAAATGCAGCAAATGGGATCTTTGAGATGCCTACGAAGTTTCAATTGTGTCTCGAAATCAAAGCTTCTTATCAGAAAACACAAGCGACCGGAAGCAAACACTTTAACCTGAAAGATAAGCGTAGTATAGAAGAAAGAGCCAAGGTAATCAACAAGATATGCTTCCAAAACATGGACAAATACTATGTAGGACAAACAGAAAGCTTGGCATAAGGTTATATAAACACAGTTTTGATATCTGTCGTTACGATAAATAAAACGACACTTATGTCTATGTATATGGATGCTGAGAACCATCACTTCAACCTGGACATTGCCAAAATACTCGGAAACGTAAAAGCCAGCAAACAAGCGAATTTATCAAACTCAAGGGAATCAAAGTTGAACTCGACCAATAAGCGTTTGGCTTATGAAGCCTTGAGAACTAGGCCCTGGAAACCACACTGATGATGTTACCTAGTTTGGCAACGAAACGTCTGCAAGGATGTCGTTCAGCTCGGAGAACCATCTAGAATCTATGACATTCCACTCCTTGGTTTGCAACCACAAAGTCCCCGGTTCGAATCCGCGTAAGGGTGGGTGTCCTCGTGGTATACTCAATCCGCGCGCGACTGGTGGTGGTCGCGCGGCAGCGAAGCGCCGTTAAAGGGCGTACAGCTGGCACATTATTATTATTATTATTATTAATTTTCCCCAAGAGCCAGTATGGTTGCTGGTTTGCATACCTCCCTTGAAGCTACTAACTTCTATTGTATCCACAGTCGCAGTGTGCCCTGACAATTTGATGTTGATCAACAAAAAAGAAACCCCGCAGGTGATTGAAAAATTAACGCCAAATGCCCTCAGTTTTCGTCGAAGTTCATAACTGACGAGACGCTTATAATTTGATAGTGTCTAAGAATGCGAATTTTTTCAAGGTGCGGCTCATGAGTTCACAAGGCGAAACAACGTGTACAACCCCCTCGGTGTTAATCCGATCATCTTGACTACTGGCCAAGTCACATGTTGTCCATCGCTAAAAATTGCTGTATAATCAGTTCACTCTAAAAAGCCGGCCCGTAGCCTTAAGGATCACAAGCCTACATTGTAATCCGAGGGCGCGGATTCGAGCCTACGTAAGGGGCTGAGCGACCCTCCAATATCTTTAGCCCGTGTGCGACTGGTGGTGGTTGTGCGGCGGCGAAGCGTCGGTACTGCGTACCGGCGTACTGCTGATGCCTTTCATTCTAAAACTCAATAAGTGAAGTTGTGCTGGAAAGTTTGATAAACTGCTCGTATCTAATGTGTTGGTGTTGAGTGAGTCATACTTGTCATGTGACTGGATTACGACATGCAACCAAAATATGGACCTTACTTTGTAGTGAAGCACAGTAAAACAGCTAGGGTAGGTAAATGTTCCTTTCGTCAGTGAATACAGGTGGTGAAGTGATACAAGTATCTATCGGCAGCCTTTGCGCTCCTGGTTTGCGTCCCATCCCTGTTACGTCCACTCGAGTAGTTCTAAAGTGGAGAAGACCGACTGGAGAGTGAAGTGCATCAAGTGAGTTATGCCGGTACACTCGTAACTGTTTGATGGAGTGTTGGCAAATGGGCTCCTACCGGCTGTTTTCTCCCCTATCTCACGGATAGATTGTTATCGAAACTCGGTGCAAGGTGAAATTGATTTCCACTACCAAAAGGCACTCCGATTAACTGAGGGTTGACGTGCAGCTGTGAACGAGACTTACAGTCATGGAGAACACTGGTGGCAGCGAATCCATCGCAAACTTGTAACTCCTGCTACTTCAAATTAATGCTTTGAGGTAGAAGAAAATACGGAAGCGATGTTATTGTCATTTTGTGATGATAGCTCGCTATTGAGGAACATGCCCCGTTTGTCGCGATGGTGGGGAAAACATTTAACCGAAGTAATATGTGCGAACAACAAAAGTGATTGGTGCTATCGGCTGGGGTCAAAAATAGTCGCGGTACGTTGAAGATTAGATGTCCATCATCAATGATGCATGCATACGAAGCCTTGCGATAGCTGTATTTCACTACGAGGTTCCTATTTTGTGATAAGTATATTGAAGGCTGAGAGGAATTCTCACTACATTTAGATTGCGTACTTAGAGGAGAGAGCAGGTGTCAAACTTGGAGTAGATGAGGTAGTGATGGGTGTGTCGTAGCGCAGGATAAGTAGGCAAAGGGAACCCAAGGAGACATCGTATCAGTAAAACTGCGTGCGGCAACAAAAGCCAAACAATAGACTAACCTCAAAAGTCTCTTCCATCTGATATTTGTACTCCTCCAACTCCGTGGCTGTTTGATCGCGAATAGACTGCAGTTCTTCGGCAAGCCTGCTTTCGTATTCAGCTTTCTTGCGACCTTCCACTTCTTCCTCAATATACATTGTTCGCTGCACAAGCTTCTCGCGCTCCTGCGATCACCGTAAGCTGAGTAAGAAATTACACAAAACATACCTCCTCAAACAGTCGCGATCGGAAATCAAGTTGCTCCTTAAGACCCAATACCTTGTTTTCCAAATCCGTGCGCAGAAGCGTTTCAGCTTCCAAATCCCGTTGCGCTTGTTCAAAGCGCTTTTCTAGAGCATGAAAATCATTCAAGAGGGGCTAAGTTATCATCAGAGCTGGCAGATAACCACTCACCTGGTAACGATCGTGATCTTGCTTGTAATTAGCTAAATCCTTCTCCAAACCTTCAATACGTCGATGAAGCGTCCGGATTTCTTGATCTCGTTTGCTGAGCTTTGATTTAGCATCATTCGCATCATCCTTGGCCTGTTTAGCGTCCAACTCAGTTTTTGTCTTTTGTTTAGCCAGATCATCCACCAGATTTCGCAAAGCATGGATCTCATCTTCATAGGTCTTTCGGGCCTCTTCAACTTTGCTCTATGAAGATGAATAAAACTACAGAGATAATGATTACCATACGCTCTTCTGTGACCGAGTGAATACGACGTGTGAGGCGTTCTTTGTCCAATTCCAATTTACGTACATAATCGATGTACCCAGCGAGACGATCGTTGAGATGAGCCAATTCATCTTTCTCCTCACTGCGACTGATGTTTAAAGGGCTGTGAGAGCGTTCACCACGGGAGAAACTTTGGCGCGGAGTGCCGGATGAGGAGACGCGACTGCGCTCAACGGTCACTGTCTTGGAGACACTTGAGACCGACTGTGGACTGCCGTCTTGCCTCTCAGTTTCCGCTGGTTTTTGCTTTTTAGATCTAGCAGACATTGTTACTGCAAATGCTGAAAAGCAATGGAATAGCCAATGGAAAGGGGAACAGAAGAAAAATTCAACAAGAGGAAAAGTTACACAGCCTACACTATAAAGGTAACAACAAAAACAATAAAAACAGCAAAACACATCACCAACCAAAAGAGACAATTAAGCTAAGTTCACTCAACGGATTGCGTTTCGAACACGCCGAAATCAAGCTGATCCGATTGTAGTGAGACAGAAGAAATTGAAATCAGAGAAGGAATAAAAATAAAGATTTGATCTGAAAACCGTCCGGAAAGGGGGTATCATTAGCATCCAGTGCCGATAGAAATGAGGAGCTGCAATGACTGATAATCGTTTGGAATCAACGATGTGGTAGATTCCGAGGTCCTTAGTAAGGAAGATAGTCGAACAGTAGTGTGACAGCCTTTGGATTCGTTTTGTCATGCATTTACCACTGCCACCATGGAACTCCATCTAACTAGATGCTGTATCGTAAAGCTGCACACACCAAGTAGTTAGCAAGCATACGAAGAACATGGAACAACAAGCAGCGAACAACCACAGGAAGTGGTGGATCGGTTCACTTACACTGGTAGCTGTGACACCTCTGGTGATCACATTACAGAGGAAGTTATTTCGTATATCACCAGAGCGCGTGTGGATTTCCAGAGACTCAACCAGCCATGGAGACAGTGGGATATCAGCTTGCAGTGTAAGGTAGAGTGTAGTTTGCTGCGATAAGGCTGGTGTTACTGTATGGATCAAAGACCATAGTAAAGATATTAAACGCTTGGCCGTGTTTGACCACCGGTGCTTGCGGAGTACCGCTCACACGTGGTGGAAACACCGAGATCCGCCAGTTTGCTTTTGGTGAGAAGCCCTCTGGTGACTCACTGAGGCGTTTTAATCGCTTACACTGGATAGACCATGTCCTTCGAATGCCCTTCAACCGACTACCACGTCTTCGCTGCAAAAAGCTTGGCGAAATTGCGACGTGGCATAAATAAAGCTAAATAAAGCTTTTATTCTCGACAAGGCGAGGCACGCCTTTACAGGCATGATCATTTTGACAAAACAATGCGTGATCAAGGATGTGCAAAAATCCGATATGTTTGCCATAACAGTGCTTGTTTGTGCAGGGGGTATGTAAGTATGTAATTGTATGTGCGTTTATGTAGCTGTGTAGGTTGCGCTCGTAAATGTGCTGTTCCATCCTTGAATGTTTGCTATCGTCCGCAATGTGTGAGTGGAAGATTGGTGTCCGTGGGTTGGAAAGGATTATCCAGATATCCACGGGGCAGTGACTATTTTGTGGCGAGCCACGACTGCCACGTCACAGTGTTGTTAAGCAGATATTTGTGGTTTTTATAGGGAGAACGTTTGCCAGGCGAAAACCCACCACATCCTGGAACACTGCCGCCGAATTACAGGCTGGAACGGGTTAAACCCGAACCACCCAGCTGGCACCACGAGGAGGTCGTTCGATCAGCCAGACATGAAGAAACTAACCGAGAAACTTGGTAAGGCTGATGCATGCCGTATTTGTGGATAGACGCCTCATAATGGTCCAGTGGTTGGACTCTATCGGACGTGGAGCAGTCACGCAGTCAGTTGCGTTCCTGCATTCGGTTTCATGCATCTGGTTATTAATTTTTCATCATATTCCATTCCATTATCTTTGTAGTATACAGTACTACAGTGTTCATACAGTCTCAAAGGGCACATCGATTCACCGAATTGAAGGCACTTTGATGTTGAGGAACATGACCACTGTGGGTCGCAAACATAACTGACGGTTCTCCGATGGCTGGCGCAAAATAAAAATGTGATCAATTCAACCTTGAATTCGACGAAACCCGACTTCTTCTGCTCAAGAATCTGCCTTTCTTGGATGGTAGTCAACCTGTAGAGAACTAGTGGTAAATAAATTGGAAACCATAGAAATCAGACTGATTCTTTTATGATTTCTGCATTCTGAACACAAGCCTCATTGAAAACCGGGGCAATAACGGAAAAACTCCAGTCGGTGGGGGCAGTTTCCCGCTCCCATAGTTTCACTTATAGACCGTGTAAATCAACCACTAGGTCAGGCCCCCGAATTTGTGCAGGGCTGGAAGAACCCCATTTAGTCCTGCGGCATTGTTCAATTTCAAGTCCGATCTCTTCTGCACCAGGGTGGATCCAAAGAGTCCAGGGAACAGGGCGATAACTATCCGACAGCGAACTTGGTAATTCCGGTCAATTAAATTGTTTTTCAGTGTTCAGCCCAACCTTTGAGACGTTTTGACAAGTTGTGGATAGGCTGTCTACTGTCGTCGCATATAGTCTATACGACATCAGGTCTCTTATTGCTAGATACCAGTATCAGACAAAATAACTTTTGATGGTCACTAAGGGCAATCGTTGTTTCTATTTCCGATGTACAAGGGTGACTTGGCGCCCACCAGCCTCGAACCAGCTATGGACGCAAATCGATCACATTGCGATAAGTTACCGATGGAGAGGCTGCGTTCAGAACTGTCGCTCGACTTGGAGCATATGTGTGAACACCGACCATGCAATTGTATGTACTGACCTGCAGATGCGTTTTGGCGGACACCCACGACGATGTTGTGAGTGCATTGACACCAGCCAACTGAGGAAGCCAGCTGTACTGAATGGGTATCGAAACACGCTGATGTGAGAGTTGAGTAAGCGCCCAATGGTCTCATTTTCACCAGACGTTAGTAGCAGCAGGCAAATCCTCATGTGGCAAGTCTAATCGGCAAAATGGACATTAGGTCTTTTCGCAGTCTCTGGAACTTATCGATGCTCGCCGGCAGATTCCGGCTGGAAGTGAACAAAATTAAACTCGCAAAGTGCTCTGTGCAAAACTCTGTGCTAGCCTGAAGAGAAACTACGAATCCTGGTGGTCTCATGGTGCTTCAGAGATGGAAATGGCCGCTGCCCTTGGTAACCATCGTAGGTTATTCTGTCTGATACGTGAAACGTGCAGCAGGAGACCTGGTGTTAGTGAAACTATACGTGACGAGAGTGGGCAGCCTATCCACAACTTGTCAAAAAAGCTTGGAGCGTTGGGCTCACATTTTGAAAGGCAATTTAATCGGTTGGGATTGTCAGATTTCTCGCCGGCCACTGATCACCCTGTTCCATGGGCTGTCCCTTTGGATCCACGCTCTCGCTCAGAAGTTGAACGTGAGATCGGACTGTTGAAATTAAATAAAACGGCGGGACCAGATGATCTTCCTCAAGCCGTCTTCAAATTCGGAGAATCTGCTCTTGTGGATGATTTATACGAGTTACTAGTGAAACTGAGGGAGCAGGAAACTGTTCCAACCGACTGGAGCCGCTCCGTCATAGTCTCAATCTTCAAGGGAGGCTCACGATCGGAATGCGGCAGCCATAGAGGAATCAGTCTGATCTCCATCGCATCTAAATTGCTTTCCTCTGTCATTCTTCACAGGCTGACTGGCACTCGTGAAAGTCAGATTTGTGAAGAGCAAGCCGGGTTTTATCGAGGTTGTGGCTGCATTGACCATATCTTCACTTTGCCTCAGTTGTTGGAGCACCGTCACATATATTGTCGGCCCACCCGTTGTCGTGTTCCTCGATATCAAAGGTGCATTCCGTTCGGTGGATAGACGTGCCGTTTGGGACTGTTTAGTCAGGAAAGGTGTACCCGAGAAATATGTAAATATTATCCGAGCATTATATGCTCGTAGTTCGGGCAGAGTGAGGGCTTACGGGAGGCTGTCGTCGCCCTTTAATATCTCCAGCGGTGTGGGACAAGGATGCCCACTGTCCCCTTTCCTTTTCAACTTCGATATTGATGAAGTCATGGAAATAGCGTTCACAGGACACGAATAAAATGTGGATCTGCTCTCCGGAGAATGATATTTTCCGAATCTTTGACAGATCACAAACGTGTCAAGTTGCAACCGGAGAGATTAACACTGACTATCTGTCACATCGGGCTTTGCATCGCACCCTCAAAAGGCAAAGCGGTCCTCCAAGATTAGCCTGAACCGCCTCCTACGCTGACCCTTGGTAAGGATCAGCTAAAAGTCGTTCAAAAATTCAACTACCTGGGAAGTTGTATCAGCGCCCGTGGGATTGAAGATGAGGTCACGAACCGTATAGCAAAAGCTCGAGGCACTTTTGCTAACCTTCGCCACTTATTGCGCCGGAGCGACACCACTCTCGCCCTGAATGATAGAGTGTACAATGCAGCGGTACGTTTGACCTTACTGTAAGCTTGTGAAACCTGGCCCACCAGACATGAAGAGGCCAGTAACGTTCGACCATCGGTGCTTTCGCAGTTTGACTCACATCTGGTGAGAACACGGAGTAGGCAACGAACGTGTTCGACACCTTGTTTACGGCACAGGAAAAAGAAAATGAACTGCTCGGCACCGTTATTTCATGCACTAGGTTCCGATGGCTCGGCCAGGTGTTACGTATGCCAGCCAATCGGCTCCCGCGACGTGCGTTGTCTGCGGGCCGGGGTGTGGGTGGAAGAGGAGGGGTGGCCGAGCGATGAATCAGTCGAGAGCAATGAAGGCCCTCACTTCGAAGCTGGCCTCAGCTCCCTGGTTAGGGTCCGAAAGACGATGAACACGTTTGGCTGGATACGCTTGCTGACATGGCTAGGAGCCTATTTGTCCCACTCCGTTCCTCAGCCTCCTCCAACCACGAACTCACTCCTTAGCCTAATATAAGGTTACATAAAAAATTGTTTGTTACATAGTAGCTGACTGGTAGCTTTCCGGAACGATGCCCATCCGTTACTGTAGCTCAGAGTGCGTCTGTTGCATTTCCCCTTTTTGCTTTTATGTATTGCAGCGCTAGCTGAGGTGCTTCCCGCCTCTAGCTAACGTGTATAATGATGAGGATGATATCCCATCGCTCAGTCAGACATGAGCACTAGGTTGCCTCGCGACCCGGACTTCCGTTCTGTCGCTCTATTGACACCGAGCCTCAGTGTAAAAGAATTACGGCCACCCGTTAGCATCTAAAATAAAAC